AACTTCTCCTTCGGGAAGTTAATTAACAATACATATTATAAAACAATTAAATATCGTATACTTCAAAATTATATTAAGGTTTCGCAAAATAAACAACAGTGCTGACAAGCAAAAAAACTAAGAACGAAAGAAAATACTTTTATTGGTTATGGATTTTCAAACATTGCCGTTTACCTCCTGATAGCAACATAGTAAAAATCAAGGTGATGGCTAGTTATACATCTTTTCCCTCTACGTGCAAATATTATTGTTAAAAAATTCTTAACTTTACTTGTTTTGACATATCGGTGGTGGACCTTTCACCCGCGGACCTTTAAGCCTCGTTTTACCCTATCGAAATAGTTTTTATTTAGAGCTCATACAAAATATGAGGAAGCAAATAACCATTTTTAAATTTTTATTATAGCGGAATTTTACTTTTTTTTAATTTAAGAAGAAGTTTGGCACTCTTGGTACAATGCTGGTTGCCTTAAGATAATGTCGGTTGTTTTTAGCTTCTTGTTTTGTCGTTATGAAACTTTACTACTCGTCATCGTCTGCTATAAATCTCGCAACCCGTTTCAAGACAATTTATGTTCCATTGCTGAATCTGGATTCGCCAGGGACGGTTTAATCTATTATAATTATTATTAATATTATTTTTTGGTAAAACCATTTTTTCAGGAATAATTTTGAATTTCAATTGATTCTTAAGTAAAATGATGAAAATGAATTTTAACTTATCTTTTTGCCTGAAAATATGATTTGCCAAATATACTTTATCTATTTTTCGTGTCATTCCAAATCGTTCAATACAAAATTTGGAAAATTAATGTTTCAGAAAATAATATTCACTTTAGCATTAATAATATAAAAATAATTAAGACCATTTAATGCATATTCCACCTTTATTAGATTTCTATTTTTATATTATTTTCTTCTAGATTTTTTTATTTTTATAGAAGTTTGTAATCATAATTACAAAGCTTACAATTTAATACTTCTAATAATTGGTATAAAATTTTGCTAAACAACGAAAGCTGAAAAAACAAAATGAAGACTTGAGTGACCGAACGGACACTCTCAAGAATTATCATACATGTATTGATGCTGTTTTATGAAAGAAAATTTAAAAATAAAAATAATTTTCTAAGACAGGAAACATTTTTGTATATTTATTAAAAACATTTGTTAGATCATATATAAAAACTGTTCAATCTGGCGCAATTGTGCATAAATATAAAATATTTAATTATAATTAACTTCCCGTAGGGTAAGTTATAGTAATCGCAAAAAATCGAAAATGAAAATTTTTATATATCTTTACGTTTCAGAGGTTTCTGAATATTTTGGCATACCTTAGAAAAAATGGATGTATGTGTGTGCGTGTATGTGTGTATGTGTGTGCGTGTGTATGTGTGTTCGGATACAAATTTTCGTCGACTATTTCCGGAACACAGATGAAGCGATTTGAATAATTAAAAAAACATTCGATTAGTATTGATAAGGAGACGTGCTGATTAGTTTTTAGCGAAGGCAGGTCCAGCCGTTCCGAAGGTATGGGGCAAATAGTGCCAAAAACGGTAACTCAGTTTTTAAGGAACGGAGCGTCCGATTTGAATAATTCAAAAAACATTATATTTGTATTAACAAGATAAAGAGCTGATCAAATTTTCATGGAGGCAGGTCTAGCGGTTTCGGAGATCTAGTAGAAAAAGTAAAAAAAATGCCATCTGGCGGTCAAAAATGATCATTAGACATATGCACAGATATTTTATAGAGTTTTTAGCAATAAGTATATATTTTATTTACATTCCTTATGGGGTCCGTACCAATGCTTATCCATTAGACGACGACGCGGCGCTTACGCGCTTCAATATTTCGTCTCTATGCAGTTAAAGCAGCACGATTGCTTTAAAAAAAGTTCAGAATTTCCAAAATATTTCAAAATACACTTTTCTTCAAAAAGTCTTTTTTTCAACAAAAAATAAATTTTTGTCAAAAATTTATAGTTTCTCAAAAATCTAATTTTTCAGGGTAATTTTTTTTTCAAAAATGTTAATCTTTTAAAAAAAAATTTTTTTGGTACGGGAAGTTCCAGCAATTTGCCTTTATAAAGTTATAAATTAAATTGAAACTTACTCTGAATTCTTCCCTGAGCTTTGCTTTATTCACGTGCCGTATTGCGTATGTCGGTAGTTTTTCCTTTTTGGACTGTTTGGCTGCGGTTTACCGCTGATGCTTCTTTTACAAGAAGCCGACAAAAAGCGCCTGGCCGTGCCTTGACAACTAAACGTTTATATAAGTTTATTAATTATTAAATGAAAATTCCACAAAAAGATCATGCTGGTTGGAGATATATTATTAGGAAAGTGTCAAGTTAGTCCATGAGCCTTGTGCTCGTGGTATGTGCTTGAACTATTCTGATATAATATTGTGTATGTAATTGAATATTTTTGCACTTACAATTTGAATTGAATTGAATTTCAAATAATTGAAAAAGAGAGCCATTTTTTAACAATAAAAGATTTACCATTTATTTATTCACTTATTCTTAATCTAGCCGTAATTAATCATAACAAATTTAATTTAATTACAGTTAATCAACCTATTACAATCAAACCAAGCATTTTTCACGTCAATATAAAATTGAAATTTATTGCTTTTGGAAGATCACTTCTTCAAAGTTTTGTTTCTATACATCAATTATCTTGTTTCTGCATCTATACATACAAGTGCAAGATTTTCAGCTATCTATTTAATAGAGTTCATTCTCTAATTCTGTCCAGCACCGCAACGTGTCGCGATAATTTCGGCTTTCTTTAAATCCATTTCCTGGTCAGCACAGAGAGGTTTATATCAAATGTATTAGCATTCAGTTTTCTCTTTGACTGTTATAGTATGCTTCTCTAACTCTATTTGAAATGATCAACATATTCCAATTTTTCATTTTTCAGAGATATCCTCATCTATTTTCTGCATACTTATCACTTTCGGTTTGTTGATGTTGATATTGATCTCTATATATATCAGATCATACTTAACCATGGGATCATGTGCGCAATTATTTAATTTTTAATTTAATTCATTAATTTTCATAATTCATTATTTTTTTAATTTTTATTTAATTATTTTCTTCAGTGATTTTGTGTCATGTTAACAAGACTCTCCATAATGATTTCATAAATTGGATGGCTTAATACATCCTTGCCCAGATTAGGTTTTAGTAACAACTTGGGTCATTCCAAACCATTACCTTGTATTTCATGTAAGTACAGGTTATTTATCAGCCTATAAAAGCCAAATATTAGTTAATTTTGCTATAATAGTCTTCGGCTCTTAAGAAAGCTTTCTCCCCATCAATAACTACTGGTGCAGATGTCCTTATAGATGCTGGTTAGTCTGATGCGTTTTTTTTTCTCTAAATTTTTCTTCCCCACCTTATTTTCGACTCGTCAAGTGAACATTTATTTGTATAGAACTTTTTCGACGTGCAAAACCATGCTGATCGCCAAAATGTCCTTTCTCTAAATTATAATCATCCACATAAAAATGTTCGTTGGTTATTCCCAGATTCCAAATATTCCGTATATTCCGTTCAGCACTGTGATGGTATTCTTAATCTGCTGCTGCCCTGCTTAATCCTGCTGCTACTAAGTATAGTGTTTCTCCTTATCACATCCTTCCATTTTTTCAATCCATCTTTCTTTTGCTCGACATATTTGATCATAATGTTTTCCAGAAAATATTCCTTTTTATATAATTTTTCAATTATTTTTCTATAAGCTAAGTTATTACAAGGTAGTCACTCACCATTATGCCATCATCGTTTTCCTTTTTATCCTTTTGTGTCCAATTCGTCTTTTGCAGCCCGAAAAATTAAATAGTGCCCACATTGTATTTGATAACTACGTCTTCTCTATTTCTTGCATTGCTGTCTTCTATTGATTCAAGAAATACACATTTTACCTTCTGAAACCGTTTTTACGAGCTATCACTTTATTGTTCTTTCTTGAATTTATTTTTGTCAATTATGCAGATGATTTTGATGTATTTCATATTTGTCATAGGGTAGCTTCTATCTAGGCAGAAGTAGTACATATTTTCTTAGCAGATTCTTCTTTCTGACTTTTGTTGTATTATCGGCACTGTTTGTAGATAATTTTCTCTTTTAATATTCAATAACAGGGTGATCGATTCAATGGAATATGATAGTAATTTTTTGTTATGGTACTGCCCTAAAATAATATTGAATTGAAATACTTAAGAAAATTTTTATTTACTATTTTATTTTATTGAACAAGAAGATAAGTACATTTTAATAAGGGAATGTTTAAATTCAAGTGTGCTATATAATTAACAAATTCAACTATCTACTTTTCTATTTTAAAAATATTTTTAAAGAAGTAAAGTCCTGAACCCAGTTAGGCCATTTCTATGGTTTGCATCACATACAATTTTAATTATACCATAAATGAGCTGGTCATAACTGAATCAACTTTTATATTAAATAATAATACTTGTAACAGATAATTAATTAAAAATATAAGCAAAATATTTTGAGGATTTTTATGTATCATGCATAAATAATTAAAATCACTAATTTAATTTTATAAATCCATATTTCATTAAAATTTAGAAATTATCTGATTGTGAAATATGTGTAGAATTTTTACTACTTTTCTGCTAGATCCAAAGTGTAATAAAATGTTTTTGGTTAATTTAATAACTACCTCAATCAAGTTATTAAACCAATATGTATTACATAAATAAATGTTTTCCATTGTTAATTAAATATGCAACATAATTGTATAATCATTACATTATATGATTATCTGAACTCAATTAAAGCATTTCCAATTATTACAAGGGCAATGTAAGAATAATATAAAACAATTATAAGATACATAAGTCTGATTACAATTATATACATTAAAATATATAAAAAACAAAAACATATTTTTTGGTATATAAAATATCTACATTTTTAAAAACATTTGTAACAAAATATATCTATCACTTTACAAATTATTATTTTAAAATATTGTAAAAATTTAGGCAATTCTCAGGCATATAAGTTTTTACATTTAAAATACATATATTTCTTCATGGTATAAATCGATTCAATTATATACATATATTTCCTTTTAACACATCTTTTCTTTCCTAAGTATTAAAATTCTTAAATAAAATTTGTTTACCTTCACCACATTACTTGTGAAAAAAACTACAAATAATTATTGTTCTTTACAGAATCCTAATACATATCCCTTTGATGCTAGGACTCCTCTACATTTTATGTGAACTTGGTGCCTCAGAGCCCAACATAGCCCTGCATTAATAATTCCCAACGATTGCATAGTTTCATTTGTTAATAACTCTGAAAATATGCAATATAGATCAATAGACATTATTACGTGGAAAATAATACATATTAAAAATATTTATACATATTTTCCAAACCAAATGTAGTTTAGAAGCACATAACAATATTAATTATGAAAGAAATGATTAATTGTTTTATTTATTTAAAAGCAATTTCCCAATGAGTTATTACCTGAAGGATCACTGTGTGTTAGCAATTGAATTTCTTTCTCCTTGCATAATGTTTGCAAATCTAACGGCACTACACAGCACGCACTCAAATTTATTTGTGCTATGCATGGAGGCACCCTTGCACTGTTATATAAAGCTCCCAAAGTGTCTGCATCTAAATCCGCAATGCCAAGTTGCAATATCTGAAAAACATTATAGGTAAATATAAATTCATAGTCTTGCAGAAATAGAACAAATATCAGGATTGAAATCATTTATGTATAGTTATTGATATAAAAGATAATTTGAATGTAAAATGAAACCATACAGCATATTTCCAGTAAATTCACTGAGTAAATTGAGACTCCAATTAATATGCAGAAAATTTTATTCGACAATAAAATGAATGTTTTTCTGGTAAAATTCATAAATAATGTATACTAAACCCAGTGCCATTCCCATTGCAGTACAATGCTCTTAATATTTTTTATTGTGAAAGAAAATAATTGATTTTAGAGTTAGTCTTTATATTGAATCATAACATGTATATTTATAATTATGATTGAACAGACGACAACACCTATTGTTACTATTTCCACAATACTTTATTCCATTGTTTCTAATTGCAATTTATAATAAAATGTCATAACACAAAACATAAAAAGATCTATTATCAATTCTGTTTTCTTCTTCATTTTAAGTGAAGTGAATCAAAATTAATATACATTCTAAACTATCTTTCAGTAATATAGAGAATAATATCGAGTTACAGCCTTCACATTTGACTTCAAACTTCAAATGTTATATTTGCAATAAAAACTAATAAATTATATTCTCTGAATCAAGATTTTATGTCCATAAGTTAATAAGTATAAGAATTAAAATTCATTGAATAACGCAATGTAAATAAAAAGTTTGTTAGTATCTCTAAAACAATGTTTTCAATTTGTTTGAGATTAATTATGCTTTTTTCATAATATTTGTTTGGTAAAGTACCACAAGTTTTAAATATTTTATTGTTTGCTACCTGTTTCTGTTTCAGTAATCTGTATAATACCTGTTTAGATATGGCATATTCTTCCAGAGCACTCCACAAATTTTTTAAATCTTTCAAAGCAGACCCTGCTCCAATTAGACCATTATTAAAAGCCATCTTACTATCATCGTTGGACATTTTTATTGTATCAGTTGCATTATTAGCTGGTTGAAATGCCAAAATAAGATTATCAATTGTATCTACTTGTAATAGCTTAAAAACACTTTGGATAGCTTCTGTTATTGATTCAATACAATTTTTGTTCAGAAATAATTTTACACCAATTTTTAAGCTTTTTCTTTCATGTTCTGTAATTTTAGCATGTAAGTCATCATCTGCTCTTGATATAACGGCCTTTGTTTTTTCTGAATTATTTACTGAGGGGTTCTGCAGTGTTATCGTTAGACTATCCAGTAGCTAAAAATAACAGAAAGATATAATATACTGTTTAATAATAATATTATGGTCAGTCAAAACATTTTTAAAAATTATACATACTACATTAAAAACAACATTATAGTCCGTAAATAGAAGCATTTTGAAAATTATACTATATTAATTACTAAAAAAAAACGTTATATGTTTGATGGCAAATTTCTCTAATCGTGCAAAATCATTATATTAATTTAATATTAATCATTATTAAAAATTAAATAATTACATTAATTTCATTGTATTTATAACTGTGAAAGTTCAAGTCACATGGATTTAGTATAATTTAAATTAATAAGACGTACTCGATTAACAAATCATGTAAATGTTAATGTTTAAATGCTTCTAATATAAATTAAATTTATAAGAAGAGCTTATTTTTAAATTTTCATCACACAGCTCATAATCAGTTAATTCACATCTTTCACCACAATCATTTAATTACATAAATTCATCAAATTATAGGCAGTTTTAAATGTTCACAAGTTTCTATATAATTACAATTTATAAGAAGTTTAGCATATTAAATCATTTATCGTGCAGATCATAATCAGCAAGTTTATAAGACGTGCTTGTTTTCTAAATTATCGTGCAACTTATAACGAGCATTATTAAAAGTGAAATCATTGCATTATTTATTGAATCAGTTGTAATGGTAAACATTTACATGGTTCTAATAAGGTTTGAATTTATAAGAAGTGCTTGTTTATTAAAACATTTATTATACAATGCATGATCAGAAATTCAACTGAAAATTATATCATTACATCAATTTTATTGTAGTATCTGTAATTGTAAAATGTTACATGGTTCTCAAATAATTTTCAGTTATAAGAAGTACTTGTGTTTTAAAGCCTTTATCATGCAGCAAGTTAACTGGATCATTAAAAATTAAATCATTACATTAAATTCATCAAACTGCAAACGATATGTTTATAATATAATTTGAAATTTCAAGAACTGCTAGTTTATTAAATCATTTATCGTGCAACTTGTAATCAGGAAGTTAATGCAAATCATTAAAAATGAAATCATCAGATTTATTTCATTGAATTATCTGCAATTGTAAAAACCATGAAATGTCGTGATTATAATATAATTTGAGTTTTATAAAAAGTGTTTGCTTATTTAGATTATTTATCATGCAAACTTATAATCAGCAAGTTAACCGAATCATTAGAAATTAAATCATCAGATTAATTTCATTGAATTATCTGCAACTGTAAAAACCAGGTGATTGTCATGATTCTAATATAATTTGTGTTTATAAAAATTACTTGCTTATTTAGATTATTTATCGTGCAAACTTATAATCAGCGAATCATTAAAAAATAAATCTTTACATTAAATTCATTGAATTATTTGCTACTGCAAATGTTAATATGTCATAATCATTTATTGCGCAAACTCATCATCAACAAGTTGATCCAAAATTAAATCATCTAAACATACTAAATTTTATCAAATCATCTAACACCATAAATAATTATAAGTTTCTAATACATTTTGAATTTATAAGAGTGTTCATTACATTATTTATTTACTTTATTAACAATTAATGGTTGTGAGAAAAATGCTTGCTTATAAGATTACTTATCGTGCAAACTTATAATCAGCAAGTTAACCGAATCATTAAAAATTTAATCATTACATTAAATTCATCGAATTATTTGCCACTGCAAATGTTAATATGTGATAATCATTTAACATGCAAACTCATAATCAGCAAGTTGATCTAAAATTAAATCATTATACTAAATTTTATCAAATCATCTAGCACTGTAAATAGTTACAAGTTTCTAATATATTTTGAATTTATAAGAGTATTCATTACATTATTTATTTACTTTATTAACAGTTAATGATTGTGAGAAAAGTGCTCGCTTATAAGATTATTTATCGTGCAAATTCATAATCAGCAAGTTAACTGAATCATTAAAAATTAAATCATTACATTAAATTCAACGAGTTATTTGCCACTGCAAATGTTAATATGTAATAATCATTTATCGTGCAAACTCATAATCAGCAAATTGATCCAAAATTAAATCATTATATTGAATTTATTAGAATTATCTGGAACTATAAATAGTTACATGTTTCCAATATATTTTCAATTATAAGAGTTTTAATTGCATTATTTATTTACTTTATTAACAGTTAATGATTGTGAGAAAAGTGCTCACTTATAAGATTATTTATCGTGCAAATTTATAATCAGCAAGTTAACTCAATCATTAAAAATTAAATCATTACATTAAATTCAACGAATTATTTGCCACTGCAAACTTTAATATGTACTAATTATTTATCGTGTAAACTCATAATCAGCAAGTTGATCCAAAATTAAATCATTATACTAAATTTCATCAAATCATCTAGCACTGTAAATAGTTAAAGGTTTCTAATACATTTTGAATTTATAAGAATTTTAATTACATTATTTATTTACTTCATTAACAGCTAATGATTGTGAGAAAAGTGCTTGCCTATAAGATTATTTATCATGCAAACTTATAATCACCGAATCATTAAAAAATTACTTATTACATTAAATTCATCGAATTATTTGCCACTGCAAATGTTAATATATGATAATCATTTAACGTGCAAACTCATAATCAGCAAGTTGATCCAAAATTAAATCATTATACTAAATTTTATCAAATCATTTAGCATTATAAATAGTTGCAAGTTTCTAATACATTTTGAATGTATACGAGTTTTCATTACATTATTTATTTACTTTATTAACAGTTTATCTATAAAAATGATTGTGAGATAATGAATTATGATAAGGTATTTCAAACGAACACTTTACTGACTTGCAAATATAAATTCTTAAATAAAGTGTTATAAATCATTATTGATGTCCATTTCTGACCACCATTCATCATGCATATATTTATATATCTGTGCCCTTGAAAAATGTTAATAAATTATTCAAGACATTTGTAACATGAAGAATAATCGAGAAATAATGAAACTAACAGTGTTATGTACACAATATAAAGAAATCATTAGTAAACAATAATTAGCACAATGGTTTTTTACAAATATTTTCAAATTCCATTCACCTCTTCGTGTGGTTTTTGTCCGGCCTTTTTCTTAATTTCACTCAAATTTAATATATTTCCAGTACTGATTACCACAACAGTGACACATTGTGGTAAATTTGGGAGCATTTTAATAACTTGTTATTATTTTGTAGTTTTATTTGATCGATTATTTGATTATTTGACAAGCAGAATGCAAGAGCTGCTCACTTTTGACAATTCTAATTGTCACTGACGGCTGACGGGTAAAGATGTTACATGTGACGTTTAACCTCACTTTTTGTACAAAACTGACAATGGTCTTGCGCAATGTTTGAAATATTACTGAGCAATATAAGAGATTTATACAGTGATTTATTTGTCTTATTAACTAAGGAAGGACAATATTTTGGTAGAAATTCTATCACATATCTTCATGCAATCATCTGAATGAAATGAAGATATTTTTGATCACAAGGAATGGAAGGTTGCACATTTTTGGATCACAAAATCAGGTAACGTATTTTTGAGTCGTTTCATAAAATTTATGTTTAATTACATATTGTGTTTGCAAATATTTATAATTCATTCAATTCATTTAATATATTTAATTCAATATCTACCTGGACAACCCCGATATCGAGCAGTAGTGATATCAATTTTCATTTGGATATAATAATAATGATAGTGATGTATGGCCAGTGGCGTAACTATAGGGTGGCGTGGGTGGCAAAATGCCACGGGCCCCCGACCTAAGGGGCCCCCCCGCCCAGAAAATCGAGACTCGGAAATACCTTTTTACATTATACCTAAATTTTATTTCATTTGAAACTTATATTTTATATTTTTTAAGTTCAAAATCGGAGTTAATTATTCAACCAAGCTTAGTTAAAACCAAAGGAGTCGCCGCCGCATAACGAAAGTATTGTATTTTATCTTTTATGCGATAAAGAGCTGCATCGGAAAATCTTTAGTTTGTATAATATATCAAGAATGAATTAATGAATTTATTATTGTATAGATAATATTTTATACTTTATCGACTTTTAAGATAAAAAACGAACAAGTGAAGTACTCTCTTCTCAACATCAGTAGCCTGCCTTCGCGGGGCCTCGTATCAAAATTTGTTTGGGGGCCCCCTTAAGAAGAAATTTTTTATCACAAAATATGAAAATACCTAAAATTAGAAGAATAGTTATTTATCATTCTAATTATTTTTCTATTTAATTTTCTATAATTTTACGAGCTTTTCATAAATGATCCAGATAAAAATATTCTCCCCTTATTCGAAAAACTGAATTATTAAGAGATCTTAGATTCTAAAGTTTCTGTCCCTAGGAATAATAGTGACAGGTCTGATAGACATTTCTGTCCTAAAGTTTTTACGTATTTTTTTTTTAGTTTTAATTTTGAATTTCGTCGTATTCGTGAAGCACATACAAAGTTTCAAAATCTTTTCAAAATATTTTGCAGCAGAAATAAATTCTTTTGAAGCATTAGCTTACAAGTTGAAGTTCAATACCGCTCGATAACTACGTCCAAGTTATTTAATTTTTTATAAATCATTGGTTTGCTTTAGATATTTCTTACGCTCGTTGGGCCCCCCTGGCCCGGGGCTCCGTTTCAAGCCATTCTGAATCAAATGAGACCAAATTTGTAAAAAGTATGTATGTGTATGTGTGTGCGTGTGTGTGAACAGATTTTTTGCCGTAAATCAACGTTTTCTCAAAAACGGCTGGACCGATTTCAAAAATTTAAAAGCCATTCGATGTATCTCGATGAGGACTAGCGTTTCTGAGTTTTGAGCGACGATCGGCCGGGCCGTTTCTTTGTAAATCGCAGAAAAATGAAAAAAATTCCTTCCACGTTTTAGCCCGCAATTCTGAATCGATTTTGAAAATTCAAAAACCGTTCGATAGATATTGGTTGGGAATCGTGCTGATAAGTTCTTGGTAAAGATCGGCCGGGCCGTTTACTTGTAATAAAGTCTAAAAAGAAAAAATTACGACGAATTTTATGATTTTTTTTTGTCATAATCAAAGTCTTGTAGATCATACTAAAAATATTACGGACCTATGACAAGTCGTTTAATTTTAAAAATTCTTCAAAGTTTGCAAAAATTAGTATTGTTCTTTTGGCAATTGTCAAAATTAGGCTTTTGATCGACGTTTTCTCAAAAACGCCTGAATCGTTTTCGGAAATTTATAAGCTTTTAAAGAATACTCCGAGTTAACGGCGTGTTCGTTCGTTTTCAATTATATATAATAAATCCACTCGGAATACTTTTAATTACTCATAAATTAATTTATATTTTATTGATTAAGTCGATTTTTTATACATATCGTGAAGTTCATGTAACTTGCCGCAAGGCAAAATACCAATATCAACTAGTTAAATCATAAATTTTCATAAAGATCGAACGTCACTACTTAATCAATAAAATTAAAAGAAGAAATTGTTAATGGAAGATTATGTAATAATTAAATTTAAGAAAGTGGTATTTGTTTTAAATTTTTATTAAAAAACTACGTTTTTTAATTTCCATTTATTTTAACGTTGAATATATTCACTAATATTTCATGTTTGATTTTCAAGAAAAATTAAGTTTTATGTATTTTTTGTTATTTTTATATTATTACAACTAAATTATAATTATACCTCTAAATCAATACTTGACTCTTCTGCCTTTTGTATAATTTCATAATTTAAAGCCATAAAATATAAATTAGTCGAAGTTGGTTTGCTAATTGTGATAAAATTCATTAACAATTGTTTTAGCCAGTAGTAAAACAGCGTGTAAATGACTATTAACGTTTATTAAACAAAATTAGATAAATTAAACATTGAGTACCACGATGGGGTCCCATCGGAAGACTTTGCAACGGGCCCCGGAGGGTCTAGTTACGCCACTGTGTATGGCATCATGCTTTAAAGCAAATTGCAGGAACTTCCCTTACCTTAATAAAATATTCGAAAAATATTAAATGTTTTCAAATAGATTATTGTAAATAATGTAGCATTAGCTTTCATTATTTTTATTTTAAAAATTAATTACTTTAGTTTATTTACTGTAGCTTATTTAAATAAACTAAACTGTAATCATTTATTTAAAGTGTATAAATGATGTTTAGAACTTTAGCTAGGATTAGAATTAACATTCGAATTATTTTTCGATATTCAAAAACATTTTTTTTGTAATTATAAAAAATGATATAAAAAAATTTCTTTCCCCAAAAACAAGCGTTTCATCAACACAAGCAGAAAGTTTTTTGAATCATTCAAATTGGATGCTTAGTTCTCTCAAAAAATGCCACTATTTGCATATTTAGCTCCGTATCTCCGAAACGGCTAAACCTGTCTTTGCCAAAATCTTATCACCAGGTCTCCACATCATTACGAATTGAATGTTTTTTGGATCATTCAAATCTGATGCTCCTTTCTTTCAGAATCTCGATTTCTATTTTCTGCACTCTTTGCTCCGTGTCTCCGAAACGGCTAAACCTGCCTTTGACAAAAACTAATCAGCATATCTCCCTATTAATAGGAATCGAATATTTTTTGAACTATTCAAATCGGTTTTGATCCGTGCGCCGGAAAACGTGGACGAAGAATTGTATCCATACATACATACACACCAATCCATTTTTTTAAGGTGTGCCAAAATGTTCAGAAAACGTGAAAGATATGCAAAAAATCTCAATTAGGATTTTTGGACGATTACAATAACTTACACTATGGGAAGTTAACAAATATGGGTCTGTCAGGAGGCAGGTCCATGATATAAGAGCCACACAAATCAATGATTCCCTTTCCCTTCCTTGTTTCTTATTTCCATTACTATTTTATAACCATTAAACACTTTTTAATCACACTTATATTATAAATTTTCCTTTTCAAACTCTTTTTCCATGCTTCCTGGTTACTCCAGGTTTCCGAAGCACGGCTTTCAGTTCCTTGTATTTTCTTTTCTTGCGTAAGTCACCAACTATCTGCTTTCTTCTTCTCCCCAATCCTTTCAATCCTTTTATTTTACAATTCACGACGTCGTGTAAAAAGGCACTCTTTTTGCAGAATTACGCAAGGTCTGTTTTCTGTTAAAATATGAGAATAAAAACTAATGCTGCATGGTATAGTGCCTTCTCCTCCTCCTCCATTCACCACCAGCAACATATTTCAAAACTCTTCAGAAAGTATCTGTTGGCCTTTTTTAGAGTCCAGGTCACTGATCCGTTCAGAGCTATTCTCCATAACACTCTTCCGCAAGTCGAGATCGAGACTCGGTTTGGTCATTACTAGCGTTCTCTTCTTCGTGAATCGGCATTCACTTGGCGCTTGCGATCCTTGCCCTGATTTCCATCGTGCAGTCTCTGGTCAGAATGCTTCCCAAGTCTTCCAATTTTCGATTTTTTACCGTTATCCTCAGTGGTTCATCTTGTTTCGATATTCTCATCACCATTGATTTGTCGATGTTGATCTCCATTCCGTATCATTTGAAAATATTATAGTTAAATGTTATCAAGTAAAATAATATCCCTTCCCGGGCATTGCTGCACCAAATTGAAAAAAATTAGTTAGATAAAATCAGTTAATAAAATAGTCAAATATCGATGAATCAAACATCTAAAAATACGATGTAAGAAGTTTCAGCCCAATAGGACACAATAGGACCCAAGGTCCTGATTTCTGTTAAAATATGAGCATAAAAGCTATTGGTAGATGACATAGTGTATTAAAGCAAATTGCTGTAACTTCTCTTAGAAGAAGCTTTTTTTTGATAATTTTGAAATAATTTAAAATCTTTATTTGATTAAATTGAATTCATTAAAAATATTGAAAACATTTAAATTTAAAAAAATATTTTTCAAAGCAATCAGGCTGCGTGGATGTCTTCAAATCGTGCATTTGGACACCGTGTTTTTTTTTAAAACCGGAATTGCCATCTTTGGCACTTTTTGCTCCATATCTCCACAACGGCTGAAACTAATTTTGCCAACAACTAATCATCACGTCTCTCTGTCAATACGAATCAAATGTTTTATAAAATCATTCAAATCGGTTGATCCGTGATCTCAAAATCGTGGACGCATAATTATATACACACATATATAATACATACACATATATACACATACATTAATTTTTTCTAAGGTATAGCAAAATGTTCAGAATATGTCTTGAAACCTAAAGATATGCAAAATATTGCTTCGTTTTTGGTTTTATTAGTATGACTTACCCTACAGGATGTTACAAAATACAGATATCTGCAAGAACAGAGATTCAAGTATATTCATCTTATATCTTAAATAAATAAACAATTGCATCCATTGTATATCATTCTAATAACTATATATTAATATTATCATCAATAATATATTATCATTAATATAATTCATATTAATGAGTCATTACTAATTGATATAGCTTTGCCGTAATCAGGACCCTTATCTTATAAAATATTAGCGTCCGTAATAAAAAGAGAGCCGATAACAATTCAAAAAATTTCATCAACACATAACGCTATATGGTGCTTGTATAATGGTTGTCTGGAAATATTTGAAAAGTAAGTTCTAGATAATTTCTCTTTGATTTTTGGTGTGATAAATCGAAAAATGCGGCAAGTAGCCTGATAATAAAATCTCATTGAATCAATATCAAATCTTATTTTACGTCTACATTTAGGAGCGCGCAAATCTATTCTTGTACTTCTTTCACTTATTATTTTCCATCACTTTTCGTTTTGGATGTTAAATCACAAGTCATCATTTTTGAAAGAAAAAGAAGCTTTTGAACTGTTTGAAACCGAAAGAGAAGGTTCATTTAGCCAGAAAATGCCATTTGCTAATTTTATTTTTGCTCTACCTTCCAAGTCATTCTGAATTGATTGACACCAAAATTGGAAAAAATATTTGCGTGTGAGCCAAAATTTTATCTTTGGTCGACATTTTGCTAAAATCTGTCCAAATTCTGAAATCACATTTGAAAAAATCTCATGTTTAAGTCGATTATTAAAAATTTAGGATAGCTTAAATGCCCATAATGTCACTTACAATTTGTTACATAGTTAAGTTAAACATAGTTAGATGTCATCATTTCTTCAATATTTCGTTTCCTTGATCCATAATTTTTTAAGAAGGGATAAAAGATGTCAAAAATGTGTGCCCGAATAAGGTTTTTTGTTAATGCATTTTTTAAATACAATTTTCTCGGATTAATATAATACTGAGATAAATATTCAGTTTATTAATTTTAAATGTGTTATGCTAGCTTGCTGGCTATCACTCAAAAAGATAAATACTTGTATATATTTATGTGTGTCATCATTACAAGCAAACATTTGTGATTGCGCAACTGAGTGATGTCATTACAAATTTATTTCTAGCGTTTCTGAACTATTTATATAAACGTACAAAAATTCGATGGCTATTTTATGTTCAAACATCTGATCATAATAAACTAATTCAACATTAATTCAATTGAGAAATTTATGTTCATTCATTTCATTTGTAACCAATGTTAATTTTGCAAAATTTAAATTTAATCTTTTTTTTTTCTATGTATTCTTAATATATGTGCATTCCAAATTCTATCTATTGATGTGAAACTGAGTTTTATTTAGGGATTTGGAAACTTGTTAGTTTTTTTGAACAACCTTAGGAATGTATTATCATATAATTTTCTGCAATGGTTTATATTATAAATCCGTATTATTATTTATAATTAAGGGCCTTTGTAGCATAGTGGCATGGTGCGATCCGGTCAGGCGGGTCGCGGGTTCAACCACCGTCACGAACATTCCTGATATCGAGCAGTAGCGATATCTATTTTTACTTGGGAATATAGATCTTAAATATGTTTTCAAGTGAAAATAGCCTTTCATAAGCATTGCTGCACAAAATTGAATAATAAGTCAGCCCTATTAGATAAATTCTAACAATCAAGTAATCAAATACTCATGGACCTTGGGTTAAAAATATGACACAAGGAGAAGCTCAGCTCAACAACTTATGAGCCGTAAGGTTCTGATTGTTATTAAAATATGATAAAAAAATATATTATTTATTATATCTAAGACTGCGCTGTGCATTCCGCATCTCTATTTTGATATATTTATATGCACATTATTAAATTGGAATTTTTTTTACACTATTAATTTTGATTACTATTTATTTATAATATTTGGAACAGTTGTTTCATATAGCTTTCAGCATGTTTAGCAAGTTTTATACCCATGCATCAAGTGTTGCGTTTTGCAGGGCGAATTCGAATTTTCTTTACACAAATTTAAATGATTTTTTTGTTCTATATTTAACTTCCCGTATGGTAGTTAAAGTAATTGGCCGAAAATCGAAAATGAAAATTTGTGCACATTTTCACGTTTTGAAGGTTTCTGAACATTTTGCAATACCTCAGAAAAAATTGATGTGTGTGTGTGTTTGTTTTGTATGTTCCCATAGTTTCGCCCACGTTTTCGGGCGCACGGATCAACCGCTTTAAATGGTTGAAAAAACATTCGATTCTTATTGATAGGGAGATTTGCTAAATAGTTTTTGGTAAAAGCAGGTCCAGCCGTTACGGAGATACGGAGCAAAGAGTGCAGAAAATACAAATCGAATGTTTGAGAGAACGGAGTATCCGATTTGAATGATCTAAAAAACATTCAATTTGTAATGATTGGGAGAAGGGGTGATTAGTTTTTGGCAAAGGCAGGTTCAGCCATTTTGAAGTACAGAGCTTTGTTTCAATTTTTTTTTTTCATTTTTTTTTCAAAAGAATTTTTTTTTTGTATATCAAAAATAATTCAGATTTTAATTTTAATTCTGACTAAACTTCTAATATACTTTAAACAAATAATTTCAACTTTGCAATTCAGTTTATATAATTCTTATAAATGTTAGACAATGTTAAAATATTTGTAATAATCTATTTGAAAACATTTAATATTCCTGGAACATTTCATTACGGTACGGGAAGTTCCAGCAATTTGCCTTAAGGCACGATGCCATACACCACTAGTTCAGATTTATTTTACTTAATAGTTTATCGGAAAGCACTTCTGATATTAATTTCAAATGGTAGATCCTTAAAACAAAAGTAAACAACTTGCTTTTATTTAACATGTTTAGTTTATTATTTGATAATTGATTACCATGATATGCTTAATACTAATTCAGTTTAAAGTATTATTATAGATAGTCATACAATATTCAAAATAACAATATTTAAACTGCTAAATACAATCTTGTTCAAATTAGATTCGTACAATTTTGCATTTAAATTATTTTATTTTAGAATGTATATGTAAAACAAAATCATTTTTTTACAAAATACATAATTGGCATTGGCCTCATTATGAGAATCGAATATCACATCCAAATCTTCACATACAAAAATATTCCAAGCTTTATGAGCAAATATAAGCTTTAAATTGCAATTGACTCATTAATTGAATTTTGATATTAGAATTATCCTGATATTTGATTTATTACATTAACTTCTAATTTTATATTATGTTGTGGATGATATACAAAAATAAGTAAAATTTTCAATTATTCTAAATTAATCCTAAGATTTCATCTTGGATTTCACGCCAAATGTAATTAAGAATATTTACAAATGAAAATAAAAATTATAGACCAATTAGTGAATTATTTATCATTTAGGCAAATGTTTGAGGTTGAATTATATTAGTTTTGAAGCTAAATGATATAAAGCTTTTATTGATCTTGTAGGATATTATAATATCATTATTATTTTATTTTAAATATGATCTATTGATAGTAATGGCACTCTTAAACTAAATTAATCTATGTGCCTTCTTAAATATAGTATCAAATTCCGCTTCAAAATAATTCTTTATCATATGATAACGTTTAAAATATAATTTTCAAATAAGTTTTAATTTAAAATGTATTACAAATGTATTACTTTAATGTTTAGATACTTTCGCCTTGCGTAAGATTAAAAAAAATAATCAACATAGAGGCCAATTCTTGGATAAGATAAGAACGTTACGATATCAGTCGATTTTGTTGAGTAATCGCATGAGTTGGTAGTTACAAACTGCCAAAAAGCTCCATCTCTGACTTTCCAACGAGCGTTTAACACAATATCAACCACTAAAACATAACCTCCAAATGGCATAAATGTTAAATAGCAATGTTGCCATAAGTGTTAATTACGTACGAACTAATGTTAAATTCTGGCATTTGTACAATTTAGAGGTTGGTAGTTGATATTGTGTAAAACGCTCGTTTGGAAAATCAGGGATGAAGCTTTTTGACAGTTTGTGACTACCAACTCATGCGATTACTCAACAAGAGACTAGTAACACAACTATTTTATCCGAATTGGCCCCATAGTGTTGGTTGTTTTATTGATTCGTGTAGAGAAAAGTAAGGATGCGTCTTACGTTCAGATATCTCCAGGCTTTATATCATATTAAATTATCAAATTTAAGGAGATATAGGTAATAGAATTTTTCATGGTTGTTCAATTTAGCCTAAGCTGCCATATAAAAAATGCCTTATACTTATATATAATAATTGATTTCTTTATGTAATAATATATGAAGTAGTTTACTCATGTCCTAATTCTTTATCATATAAGAACTCGCCAACGCCATTACCATTGCGCCTGATATTTGTCAAATGTGCTCCAATCTCGCTGATGGAGTCGACTTGTTCTTGTAGATAATGAGATTCTAAGAAATCCAGAAGATTTGGATCGTTATGGCGGGATCCCAAAGCATGCAAGGCCAAAAGACTCTAAAAAAAGAATATCGCATGTTTTAGTTTTCTCTTATATTTAGCTACATATCTGTGGTATCTATATTTATTCACATCACATAATTATATTGGTAATGATTTCCAAGAGTTCATTTTTATTTACCATTCATATTTTAAATTATATATAAACTCCTTGAATTGCATAAATTCGTGTTACTTAAGAAGTTCACATTAAGTATTTGTGTGAAATTTTGGAATTTTTGCTGAGTAGTTTACTAATTAAGTATTAGTTTTTTACATAATTTAGGGTTACCTAATAACAAACTCGATGCCAAAATTCGTTACTTTATAACTAATAGAGAATATTTCATATATGCACATAACATTTAAATTTTTAAGATTTTAAGCTATCTTATTATTTCACAATATCTATATAATGAGCCATTTTTTATCGAATTCAATCTAATATATGAGTCAATTTGAAATTAGAAACAATACTTAATTGATCTTTGAATGATATAGAAAAAAATCAACATTTTTTTGATCTGGACTTCTAATCATGCCTTTTATATGTACTAATATACGCTTATATAATTTTGTACATTGTAAAACATAAAAAATTTCATAATTACATTTTTTTTTAATTTTCTCAAATTCCAATATTTTAAATATTTTTAATGCTTTGCTCTATTTTCAAAATGTTACAAACAATATCCTAAAGTTTTAATAACAAAGTTTTTTTAATAAATTTAATGAAATTATTAAGTCTGTTAATTTATTTTGTTTCAGAATGCAGTAAGTTCCTGCAAATCGCCTCAATGCATTAAGACCGCTTTAAATCTTTTTCTTTAATAACAAAATAAATATTCTGTTTTCTTATAAAGGAAAATAAAATGAAATTGGGCATAACTGATGGTATATGATATAAAATGGAATTATACCCAAATTCTAAAGTGAGAACAGGATGGGAAAAAGGTAAGTGATAAATTTAATTTTATAATTCATAATTTTCTCAAAGACGTTATTATATCTAATATGGAAAGAAATCGAAAAGAAAATTTATGCTTGATGAATACTATATATCTAGTAAAGTGTGTTAAATTACACACTTTCCCCAGTTTAAGTTTTTATCCAATAATACGCGCCGAACTGAATAATTTTTCCTGCCGGTACTAATCCAAGGAATTTATAATTAAGTAATTGCGAAATGGCAATTCAAATTTTGGTTTATAAAAAAAATCTTTCAAATAACCAATTCAAAGCAATGATTTGAAATTTGAAACTGTTTTCTATGTTTGGATAATATAATAAATCTTAAGAAATACCATTTGATATTATCTCAAATTTTACCTCATTAACATCTTTTTCCAATGCTAGAGCATTGGCCATGGCATCTTCAAGTTTTCCCCAATCTTGATTTGGAGGTGCTTTTACGTCGGTAAGCAAAAGTCTTCCTCCTCTAGAGTTCTGGTAAGCCATTAATTTCATTGCATGTTCTCTTTCTTCTGATGATGCTTTTAAGAAATATTTATGAGCCCCTGGAAGGGCGATGTCCGTGCGCGAGAAATGATATGACTAAAATAATAATAAAAATATTAGTTACTTCAACTTAAATTATCTTCAATATTATTATAATATAAGATTCACTGATATCTTCAAAAATATTTCTATTTGTTATTATTTTTTTTAGACATTTTATATACAATTACATACATTTTGTATACATTTTATAATGCACGAAATTGGGACTTCAAAGAACTTGAGTAGGGAGTTAGGGTCTTTAACGAATTCAAAATATTTCTTTGCCTCTATTGGACTTGTGAACGTCCCATGTTGCCATGGCTACTGTGCATGTGACACAGTATACTAAAGTGTGTAGCTGCGTCATTTTTGACAGGCAATATGAAATTGTGCTACCATATAATTTCGGTTTGCGATAAAATTATCGACTAATTTTAAATTTTATATTACCTTTTTTTTCAAATGTGTCACTATCACCAGCACCGAGATTAATTAATCAAATAACTATTCAAACAATTTAGCAATCACAAAAATTGTTACACATTATCAAGGATTGATTTTCAAACGAAATAGTCAGTACATCCATAGATGTCATATCGTATATAAATTTTTAATATATTTATGTACATTCATGAAGAGTTATGCTTATGCATTCTCTATTTAATATTCTGTCATAAAGTTTCTGTACACAGATAAAAACTGCTAATTAGTTTTTGGCAGAGGCAGGTCTAGCCGTTTCGGAGATGTGGCCCAAAAAGTGCTAAATTTGTATTTCAGTTTTCGAGATAACAAAACGTCCGATTTAAATAATTTAAAAAACATTTTACTTGTATTGACGAAATGAATAACTAGTAAAATTTTTGTAACAGCTGGACCGTCTCCAGAGGTCCAATAAAAAAAGTGAAAAATGGCAGTCAAAACTGAACATTAGACATATGTACATCCTATTATTAGATATTTAATAAATATTATAATAATAAGTAAAAATTTTGTGTCTATTTATGTGGGTTCCATACCAATGTTTACACATTAGACGATTTTCAAAAATTTTTTTAATAATTTAGTTTTTGGTACAGGGAGTTCCAGCAATTTGCCTTAAGGCACGATGCCATGCACCACTAGTTTATTTAATAATATTTTAACCAGTCTCGATCATTTTCACTCATTTTTGGTTCATTGAGGTTCATTTCAACTGAGATCAAATTTCTAAGGAACGAATTTGCAAATAAATCCTCTTTAAGACATTAGTACATGAAGCATGAACTCAAAGGGCACAAGTTATTCATCGTAACTAATTTTCGTAGGAACAAAAAAAAAGGTTTTGCAACAAATATATGACTATTTTATTTACCCCTGGATCAATGGATAATTTTTGTCCGGTTTTAGCAATTATTTTTTGCGATTTAGAAGAGAAGTTAACAGCTGATCACCTTCGACAAGTTTAATTTTTTTTTCTTGGCCCTGTAATGCTTGGGAAATGGTACTATGTCATTTTGTTCAATGTATAAGTATGTCATTTAGTCCGAAATTGAACAAAAGTGAATAATTATTCAAAATTTTATCAAACATCTAATCATTGCAATAAGATTCATCAAAATCACTAGTATTGACATAAATCAATTGATTTTAATAGAAATAAATACATAGATCATAAAATAGGTCCTAGAAAACCACCCTTAAAATAAGGCTGTGACATTGATGGTCAACATCTGACAGGATTGTTATTATGGCTTTCTTTATGTTATATAGTCGCAGAATCATTGATGAAATTAGCCAATTTTTAAATAAGGTCACGGTGTTATTTTCTTATATAATAAACGTTAATGTAGCTTTGACAAATAAAATAATTATAATAAAATAAAAACTCTAAAAAAATGTATAATTAACATCTACAATGTGAATATCCTTTGTATATTAAAGAAATATGCAGACGCAAAGGAATCAATATAAACGTACATACTAATGATTTTAACGCGACAAGTAATACTAATATTGCAATTCTGAAACCTTTAATTGTGGAAGGCAATTTGCTGCATAATAACTACCATGAATTATTACTCGTGACCAATTAAATACAGGAGTGCCTATCATTTGCCTATGTATAAGCAAAAAAATATAATGAATAAAACTTAAGTAATACTAAATTTTTCTTGAAAATACTGAAGAATAGTAGATGCATTACAATTTACTTTTTTTTTTATCCACGAAAATATTGCCTTATTTTATTGTCGACATTCGAAATTCTTTGACCCAAATATATGTTTATTTCGCTGTTTGATTATTTTTATTCCAAAACAAAAATATTATTTGTTATTATCTAGATGTGAAAATAATTGAAAAGCAACGACAGCGCATTTCGCAGAAACATCATTGCATACGTATATTATTGACATTCGCGACATATGCAACATGTATCAGAGTTATTCCCACATGATTAAATATTATTTACTTCGCATTTCGTTACGCATGAATACGATTTTAACCACAGCATGAATACTATTATCAAATATGAATACTTTTTCAATTCAATTCTTTTCCAATTCGAAGATGAATATGTCATTTTCGATTTTTTCAAAGGACGTTTATTACATGTATATGGAAAATAAAAATATGTACAATATGCACTTCTAAATTAAGAAACAGCATTAATATATGATCACATGAAAAATATCTTCTTATAGTTTAAATAAACTTCTGATTGTTTAAGTTTTCAACTCTGCTAATAAATGTATTTTAAATTTCACTCGGCTTTTAGATTTTATTTATATTTTCACTGTGTATTGTTAAAAAACAAAATGCGCTAATTCACGGTAATTTGTAATGCCCCAGATTCCAAGATCGATATCCAGTTAATTCAAGCATTATACTAAATTCAAATTAATTTTGGGGTGTTGGAATTTTCAACAAAAATGAATACATAAAAAAATTTAGCTTCTAATCAAAAACTTATTGGTCAGACGATCATCACTTGAATCTTCAATTAAAATGTCCATAATTTTGGAAAAGTACGAATATTGTAAAAAATATAAAAATTTATAGAACAATTGATAATAATCCACAATTACTGACATTAGGCTTTTTAACTTGCCATATGTTAAGTTATAGTAATCGCAAAAAATCGAAAATGAAAATTTTTATATATATTTATGTTTCAGAGATTTCTGAAAATTTTGGCATACCTTGAAAAAAATAGATATATGTGTGTGTGTATATGTGTGTGTGCGGATACAAATTTTGTCGACGAATTCGGGAACACCGGTCAACTGATTTGAATAATTCAAAAAACATTCGATTCGTATGGATAAGTTAGTTTAGTTTTTGGCGTAGGCAAGTCTAGCCGTTCCGAATATACGGGGCAAAGAGTGCCAAAAACGGTAACTCAGTTTTTAAGAGAACGGAGCGTCCGATTTTAATAATTCTAAAAACATTTTACTTATATTCACAAGATGAAGAACTGTTCAAATTTTCCGAACTGTCCAGCGGTTATGGACTTTCGATAAAAATAAGTTAAAAAAATGTCATTTGGCAGTCAAACATGTTTATTGGGCATATGTACATTAAATTATCAGATATTTTATTAATGTGTACACATATTGTGTATTTCTTTTTGGGTTTCGAACCAATATTTTTAATTAGGGTACTGAAGTTCCAGTAATTTGCCTTAAGGCAAATAAGGCAAAACGATTTCCATTCTTCCTCGAACACTAATACATAAATAATCAAAACGTAATTGATACACCTTCTATATTGAAAGCTACTGATACTGAAAGTTTCGAATGAAAGACAAAACAAATGTTATCAAAGATGCTACTGTTGAATCGTTTTTCAGAATTATCGTGAAATTCAATATAGCTTTAATTATTTAGAGTTTTTGATGCAGACAAAAAACATTTATCTCATATAATAAAAATATTCTAATTGTCGTGCGCAATATGATATATTTACTCCGAATGTCCATCAAAATATAAATTTGTCTGTCCAAAAATAAATCCGCAAACGCACTGCCGATGAAGTTTGTTTTGCTTTCTCTGATATTTGAATAATAATACCATACTATTTTGAGCAAAGAAAAATCTATTGAAGAAATCATTAGCGCGTCATTTTCAAATTGCGAACAGCATGTTTGTTCACCTGTTACATCCACGTTAATTGTTTAAGTGTTATACATGGTTAAACGTCAAAACAAACATTATAATGAATTTATTTATCAAATTGTATTCTTACTAATTTTGTATATTAAAGTATATTAGGCATTCTATTGAATTTTAGAAATATTATAGAGAATTGCGTCAGATGAGTATGATAGAGAAATAAACGGATTTACATCATAATATATCAGGTGTACCGAAAGTTCTGCCGGTTTGCGGAACAAAACTTTTTTTTTCTTTCGCCAATTAACTTTATTGAATAATGTAATTGTCATTGTTATTAACAATTTCTTGACAACGTAAAGGTACTCTGTTCATCCTACTTTGAAATAATGTTTCATCTTTAGATGCGAAAAATAGAACCAGTACATGTTTAACATTTTCTCTTTTTCTTTTTTTTTGCCAGTCAAAATTTTTTGAAGACAAAAACAAATTATAAGTAGTGGTGTATGGCATCGTGTTTTGAAGCAAATTGCTGTAACTTCCCGTACCGAATTAAAATTTTGAAAATCTGAATTATTTTAGATATTGAAATTTTTTTTCTCGAAATTGAAATTTGTTTTTTCTTTTTCTATTTTCTCCGCTCTTTGCTCCGTAACTCCAAAACGGCTGGACCGACTTTTGCCAAAAACTAATCAGCATATATCCCTATCAATAGAAATCGAATGTTTTTTGAACCACTTAAATCGGTTGATCCGTGCTACCGAAAACGTGGACGAAAAATTGTTTTCATACATACATACACACATCCATTTTTTTCTCAGGTATGCTAAAATGTTAAGAAACCTTCAAAACGTGATAACCTACCATACGGGAAGTTAATTAGTGTTTGTAAGTAATTTATTTTTCATCCTCAGTTATCATATTCCGGTTCAAAAAGGACTTTGTTTCAAACTAACAAAGACGAGAATATGACAGCTCGGTCGTGCAACTTTTTCTGACTTTTTTATGTGGCACGCATCTCGAATACTTCTACAGAAACTCTATCTTCTGAATATAATCAGAAATGGTTTGTTGAGCTGAATTAAGTCTTTTTGCGAAGCCCGATGTTGCTCAACAATACTTTAACAACAACATCGCCAATCAAAGATGCTCGCCCGGAACAGAAAGGTCGAAATCACCTGTTTCAAATTTTTAGTACCATTTTTTAGTACTAATTTTTAGTACCAATTATATGAGATAATTGAATATTCTATCAAAAACTGTTTCTTCACCAAACACTTTCAATAAATTTCTAAATTATTGTAGAAGAAATCTTCCTGGTTAAAATTTGTATAAAATTCAGTGCTTTAAACAAATTTTGTCAATCGCCACGGTTAGAAACTTTTCACTCTTAACACTAATGGGAATCAACTTTATGATAGTTTATTTTCTTCATTGGTGTAAAAATATAGAGCCAATCATGCAATAAATAAACATGCAACAAACGTGGCATTAACCATGTCATAATTTTGGACAGAACTTTCCGGTAGACCTAATATTTGTATATATGATGAAAATAATACTCGATTCAATTTTGAAAGTTTCGATATCAAATACATATTAGTAACCGGTTAAAATGTTATAAAAACCAAATTCGTAACGCACATACATTAAAACATTTTGTACAATATATATTAAATGTGCATTAAAAATATAAACATAAAACTAAAATATTTTTTAAATTAATTTATAATAATCTTACCATTGACAAATATACATAGCTCGCATACAATTCCATATTGATCTGCTTGTTTATGGCGTCTTCGCACTCCTGATGATAATTCTGTCTGATTTCTGCCATGTTGAAAAATTATTTTCTTAATTTTTTACACTTGAACTAGTTGCTTCCGAAATATAATCTCTGTTTCAAAATTTACAGTACACCTTGTATTGTAAGCGATTGTTTTTCAAATGACAAGAGTTATGAGTCGACGCTTCTGTTCTGAGAGGTGCATGCGCACTGCGAACGAATGCGTTTTATTCGTACGAACGGGTCGCGGACAGTGAATGTTTTTATTTTTTATTGTTTTCCTTCGACATGTTTTGCTTGTGCGAAATTTAGCACATTTAATACTCCTGATGAATGTTTTGAGCTATAACTCTAAACAAGATGTTAGGTCGTGCAAACATGCAACCGCCAACAATGGCAAATGCTGCACTTGGTAATTGATCTGGGCATGTAATGCGCAGGTGTACGGAAATTCGAATATAATGAATGAAGAGTATATATCCGGTTTACAAACCAGCAGTATATTTTCTTGGTTTTCAATGCATCCAATAATAAAACCGATATTTGCATTATTATATTGGTAATAGAGAATGTCCTTAGGTGAATTTAAGTTAAGTAGGGGATAAAGTGCAAAGAGATTTCATTCAACCTTTAAATCTTGAAACACAAAAATTCTGGCATAATCATTTGTTCGCAACTTTTTATGAATCATTCTTTAAACAAAAGAAAATAAACTATTTTTCATTTTGCACGCCTAATTATTAGTAGTTATAAATACTTACTTTGTAATAATAATATAATTTGTAGATATTGCTTTGTTTGGTATAAAGAGTAGTAAATCTCAATTTATTACAAAGAACTTGGGGGTATTCTAGTGTAGAAATTCAAAAATTCAATTTTTTTTTATTTCTTTTATTTAAAGTTTAACTATCTAAAAATATGGATACAAGAAGGTTTTTGAAAATTAGAATTATTTTCGGAGATATAGGCATTTTACTGACTTGGTCTCCATACTGGTTTGGCTTCACGCAAAAATTTAAATGCGTTTTGATCTTTAAATGACTTTTTCAGTACTGTTGACACGATTTCTCGAGTTTTAATCGACCGATTCACTTGAAATGTTCCGAGAGTCTTGTATGTAGATCTATCTATAGCCCGAACTAGGATTATCCCCAAATTCCAATTTTTACTATTTTTAAAAAAAATTGAGAAACTCAAAAAACAGTAAAAAAACACTTTTTTTCAAACAGTCGCCAATTTGTAAAAACATTTTTTTACTCATTGCTAGTTCGGGCGATTGCGACATCATTGTAGATTATTAATCTTTTTATTTTTTGCATTTCCAATGGCTAGGAAATAATGTCAAGACTGAGGTGCCAATTTTTTGAGACCATCCACTTTATCAGATGCCAATTTTTACAATTTTCAACATTTTATTTTTAAATTTTTGTTTTGTATTTTAATAATAATAAAAAAGTGGTAAAAATGGATAGTAAAAACATTCATTGCTTTCTTTTACGACACTTTAAAAATTACCTAAAATTTATCGCTATACACTAGAATACCCCCTTAAATTCTTTTCAACCTTTTCCATTATATATCAGAATAGCATTTTGGAATGAATTTGTAATTTGCCTCAAAGAAAAATTTCAACTTGTTAATTTTGCAATTTTACAATTGTTTGCAAATTTGAAGCATAACTAGTCAACAGAACTTAAAATTACATTACTAAAGTTGAAGTTTATATGAAACATAGACTTCTCTCCATGGAGTGAACTCTAAATTATTACTTTTTCCTTCTGTTCTAACTTTGTTTTTCTCTCTTTTATGTAACAATAACTTTTATTGTATGTTTTATTGATTTGATTGTATCAAGATAGCAATTTTTATGGAAATAAGAAAAAGTGATGTTGGAGTGGCATCAACATCTAGCAATTTTCACTTAAATAAGCTCTGGTCTTACCTGCAATGAAAATTAAACTGGTTAAAATATATTATCAAATTTTCATAATTTTTAATCACTTTTTCGAAAAGTTGTCGATATTGTGTCGTATTAAAGATTCTCTTTAATAATTTAGATCATCTATTTTATATATGATATGGTAAGTGATAAAAAATAACAGGAAAAAGTTTTTGTCGGATTTCTGCAGTATAATTTCACATAATTTATAGAGAATATGGATCTCTTTGGTTCTTGTTCATAATTACCTTCTCTTTTTATCAATCTATTCTGTCCTAAAATACACCTTCCAGGATGATGAGACATAGTGGTTTGTAGCATCTATCCACCTAAAATATATTCTTATAGAGCAGCAATTATAATGGTCAATCATTATTACTCTGGACATTTAGAGTCAGCTTAAAATTCTTAATTGAAATTTCTTATATTTTCTTAAATACATTTATAACTGTTGTTATAACTGTAGTTTGTAGTTTTCGGCCATTCACAATAGCCGCTGTCACACGCACAAGAGTCTTTGAGCTAATCTTGTGAAGTGGCCAGCAGCTGCAATGAATACCATCATCTTTTTCTGATACCATGAACTAGATTATTTTCTGTATAATGTCATATTTTTACAAATCTTCATTTCACTGAAACTTAATATATATAAATATAGTTAATAATACTTCACTAATAGATTAGAGAACAGAGATCTTGATTGCTTGGACCACTTAATGGCATAATTTTTATTGCCCAGTTTGTTTGCACATTACCACCTTATTTGGTGTTTAAATATATGTAATAAGTATTTGTTTATTAATTTTGGTTGTTATGATTATAACAATTTAAATGGTTAAAAAACTTGCAGGTGTGAGGTAACAAATTACCGACATAAGTTCTAGATAGGGTAAAAAGTTCCATGATTTATTTCAACATACAATAGTATCAACTTGTTTATTTGTAATCATACTAACTTTATTACCTAAAGATCAATACCTGTTTATTGATTATTTGGAAAATGATCTCTACGACATTTTCCATATTCCACATGTATTGTCAAATGCAGGAGCATGATAGAAATATCGTCCTGCTTAACATTCTTATCATGAATTTTATTAAAAATGTAATGATGCAGGTTATATTTTGGATCAGCTCCATATTGTTGCTAAAATCTATACTGAATAGTTGCGTTTTGGGGTTGTTTCAAGATTTTCAAATGATGAAACATATCTATAATGTTGGCACCTCATGTAATGGCGGCCAAAACATGGTCAATACGTTCTTAGATTTTTGTGGATATCTCTTTGGCTAGTAGTGAAGTTCTTTATATCTTGATCCTAAAAGATTAAAAAAAAACAATTTTTAATTTTATAAAAAATTGTGTGAAATTTATTGTTTGAAAAAAGGAAAATAATTGTGAGAGGTTATGTTTTACTTGTGATGTTTCTTTAACAACATTTTCTTGATATTATGATGTTTATGTTTTATCAAAAATATTTCTCTTGATTCAATTATAAATATTTATTTTCAAAATTTTGTTGCTGACTTACCTTGTTGTTTGTAAGTTTATTGCGCAATATTGTTTATTTGTTGCTATTTCAGTTTGATGATGTTATTTGTAGCTTGTTTTTATTTATTCTGTTTTGTAAAAATGTATTTGAATGTTTATTTTAAATAATGCATAGTTAAAATAATACAAAAATAATTTTTGCTACGCGTTACAAACTTCTTGTATTTTCGAAATAGTTTATTGCATTATGCATGCGTTGGTATCTCTGGATTCATGAGTAATTGTACAGAGATTTTGATACATTTTTAATGGAATGTGAGTTTTTATACTAGCTTTTTGTTTTATAACAGTTTTATACAGTATATTAATTAAAAATGTGTATAAACGCTACCTAATAATTACTATATAATATTATTCTATTTGATATAGGGTAGGGCGGGGCACAAAGGTCCAATTTAATTTTTGACAATTTTAGCAATTATATTAGAAATAAAACAACAAATAACACATCTGACTATGTTCAGCAAAACTCCCAAGTAGTTCATCCCTGTATAAATGTGTTTTTGAGAAATTTGAGGCCTGGTCCTTTTTACCCCATAGACAGGATAAATAGAACGGCATGGCGCAAACACGGCCAATGCTTCATTTTAATTTTGCAGAGATTTTCTAAAATGATAGCTACTAAAAAATTAATCTAAATAAAATTATTTGTTTAAGCTTACTTTCTTGTTTGCTTTTTTTATATTTTATATCTTTGCCAGGGTAAAGGTTCAGTTGGTCTTTGTTAGCTCATCCAGGTGTATATAGAAGTTATGCAAAAAACAAATTATATAACAATTAAAAACTTAAAAAGTACATTAGGGTCTCGTAAGCTAAGCAACAGTGCTGTTTTTTAGGATCTTGTTTTGATTGAATTTGAATTTACTTTTCGAAGGACCATATGTAAAACACTTAATTGAATAACTGTATATATTTATTTTATAAGTTATAATAGTATTTATAACAAATTTAATATGTTTTGATTATGTATTGATTGAATTGACCTGATTTTTATAATTATCTATTTGATGATTTTTTGTTTTTCA